ACAAGCTAATGTTAGCTGAAGTGACGAGCTGAAGTTTGCTCTAGTTACCTGAAGTAATGAGCTGAAATTTGCTTGATTTTAATGAAATGACAACCTGAAGTTGGCTGAAGTGACGAGCTAATGTTAGCTTGAGTTTTGAGTTAGCCGAAGTGACGAGCCAATGTTAGCTTGAGTTAAAGTGACGAGCTAATGTTAGCTTGAGTTAGTCAGTGACGAGCTAATGTTAGCTCGAGTTAAAGTGACGAGCTAATGTTAGCTTGAGTTAGTCAGTGACGAGCTAATGTTAGCTCGAGTTAAAGTGACAAGCTAATTTTAACTTGATTTAGCTGAAGTGATGAGCTAACGTAAGCTCAAGTTTGCTGAAGTGATGAGGTAATGTTAGCGCGAGTTAGCTGAACTGACAAGCTACTGTTAGCTGAAGTGACGAACTGACGTTTGCTCTAGTTAGCTGAAGTGACGAGGTGAAGTTTCCTCTAGTTAGCTGAAGTTAGCTGAAGTGACCAGCTAATTTTTGCTTGAGTTAGTCAAAGTGATGAGCTAATGTTGGCTTGAGTTAGTTAAAGTGATGAGCTAATGTTAGCTGGACTTAGCTGAAGTGACACGCTAATGTTAGCTTGACTTAGTTGAAGTGACGAGCTAATGTTAGCTTGACTTAGTTGAAGTGGAGCTAATGTTAGCTTGAGTCAGCTGAAGTGATGAGCTAATGTAACCAGGGGAGGGGAGCAACACATCCGGGTAACTACAATCTGGGCAGTACTAAAACAACTTTTTGGAAGATAACTCCTTCCAGTTTTAACTAATATAGTTTAAACAAATAGCCAATAAGTCATTTTCAGCTGTTAAAACTAAATAACTATGAATTGAAGCTCATAAAACTGGACAAACCATGCTCAGCAGCTCAATCAGTCATAAACTCACATATAATAATAATAATAATAATAATAATAATGTCATCACAATGTCAGCACTTTATGTTTCCATACAATGGCGAAATTAGTCTCTGCATTTAACCCATCCACCACCAGGTGGTGCAGTATATCCCATTCTCTAATACAAATTGACCAGTTGTAGTTGAAATTACACAAAATATTTTATGCTAACTATATTAACAAGCTTCCACCATAGCATAACTTTATAAAGTTTAGATATTTTAATAAGACCACATTAGTTCAGTTTAAAGTTAATATAAAACATTAAAAATCCTACTTTAGTTAAGCTTGTTTAAATGCAAATTATGAATTGGGTTTAAATCAGAGAAGAGCACATAAAAATGTTGGCTGCAAAAATATTCACGCAGCACCACATTTTAATTTTATCGCTAAAGTCATCAGAATTAAATTCCCCTGTTTGGAATTTAAATATTTTTCAACTCATTTATAATTTTTTTTCTCACTCTATGGCATATGCTTATGTTACAGGGGACATTATGTTATAGGGGAACTATTTTAATACAAGATTTATCCTGGATGTAAACATTTCTTTAGTAGTCTCAGTGATCCTAGAACAAAAGTTACATGTTGAATAAGAACAATGCGGCACTTAAAACTTTTTTAAAATATCTGAATATGTTTTCAAGTTTTCTGAGCATTCCCAGTGTTCCTCATTTGACCTTATTAGTGTCAACGTTGTCATTGTGAACGCTGGACATTGAAAAAAA